ACCTAACTTGTAGTTTCCTAATTGCGCTCTACTAGCGGGCCTGACATTTCGCGTAACTCAGCGACTGATATATGATTTTTAACACCTAAGCATTCGTTTATCTATTTTTAGTTTCACTGATAACTCAAAAAAAAGATAAACGATTAGCTGACATGTTTTTGATATTTGGATATAACTGAGAATGATGAAGTGAGATTTTCATCACTGTAGGTAACTAGTGTGACATTTTACCAAACAAATGTTACCTCCTCTTAGCTATGATTAACCTTGTAGGCTGCTATGTGACTAGCCTACCACTTAGATTTAACTGTATGGGTTTACTGTTCCATGCTCTATATTCATACAAACTACACATGATTTTATTAGGCTTTATTCTACATGTTAATACCATTCAGTGATACGTAGATGCCTTCGTTTGAAGGAGAACTCTATTGCATTTATTAATAATATACTAATGTACGATTTTTGTAATTCAGGAACATATAAAGTTTGAACACAAGCCATCACAGCTAAGCTCATAGTGTGTTTCCTCAGAATTAACTGCGCAGATCAAGATATCTGTAGGCAAATTAGATCTTTTCTGGAGGAGTGTAAGAGGCTGCCTATTCTACCACTGGAACAAGTTTGACTGGTGGAACTTCTTTAGGATAATACCCCTCTCTGTTGAAGAAAAGCCATCTTCCACTTAATCTATTAAACACTAGTGCAGTACACTTTTAGGAGCATTTAGCATCCACTGTGTTATCTATCGAAAGCGATGCGAACTTTGATCCGGTCACTTCTTAATCTCCTGATGATTCACTTGTAAGAAATATTATACAAACAAAAAATCGAATGTCAATTCAGCTATGAAAACTTGTTATTTCAAATTAAATCAGGCTTTTTACCAAGGTGAAAGTTAGTTAAGAAACTAAATTAGAATGCATTACCTACTGCTTAAATGTTAGTTCAGCGACCAAATATAAGTAATGTTTGATTTAATGTTAGTTTGTTGAAAACAGTCGACGAAAAGCCGTGGACCTATATCTTGTGCCTATTGGCGACCGTCAGCAAGTGGTATCTGTATTCTTGTGCTCCCCAGAGATTCGAACCCGCGTCGCCTGCCACCGTACTTTTTTTATTACAGCTTGATTCCACACCGTATTTTTGGTACAGGTATGGAATTTTCAGCATGGATATCGCTAGCCCGAATTTTGCAGGTCGACCAAAGATATCAGGTGTGCGTCGCCAGGGGATCGAACCTCAGACCATGTGCATGGTCGACGAGAGTCCTAACTACTGTGCCACCGACACACGTGTAGTCAGAGATGTTACTACGGAGCCACTAAAACTAATTACAGACCTCCTGTAGAACGATAAGTATGAAATCTAGATCCAAGGATTTCCATAGAGTACCACCAACTACATAAAACTGAATCAAAAATTGCACTATAGTCACGAGTCTTCCAGATTGGTGACCACATTGCAACTTGACTGACAAAATTCCAGTAGCACTAATACTGATGACGCTGATTTTTATTCTTCAGTGACCAATCAATATAAGGTATAATTCATTTAACAAGTGATCAATGCTTCCTGCTGTCGCCTGGCATTAGTTTTCCAGGAATATATTGAAAACCACCTAGACCTAAATATTATTTCAAATAGGTGAGTTATATAAATGACCCTAAGAATGTATTGCATAACAGTGATGATAGAAATTGAGGAAGAAACCTTGACTGGCAAGAGAATTTGTTGCTACCACCAACCCACGCCGACGGACACCTGATATCTATGGTCGGCCTGCAAAATTTGGGCTACCGATATCCACGCTGAAAATTCCATACTTGTACCAAAAATACAGTGTGGAATCAAGCTGTAATCAAAAAAAAACCCCAGTGTTGCTGACTGGCTGCTACAACACGCCAACTTTCATCTTCTTTTAAAAAATTTTAGCAGTATGTCGACATACAACAAAGCTGAAGAGCTTCAAGACTCATTTTAGCATTGCGTCTCTTAGCTGGAAAACCAACTTTTGACAGTTTGATGAGACCAACAGTGATTGACTACTATCATACTCAGTAGATTCTACAGACTGCTATTTCACATCAGAACCTAAGAATCATCTGCTTACAGCATCCCTTTCTTCAATAATATGAAATGTAAATATATGCAAAAACCTTATCTTATCTTTGCATTACTACAGCTGAAATAATCAATTATCTAAGATAATAATCCAAGTCGACGTGTCTGGTAGTGGCTAATAATGAAATCCATGACGACAGTTTCGTCTTGTTGGGGACTCATCCACTAGATGTGTCTACTCATAAGTGAATGAGGATTTTTCCACTAAGTCTAAAACTTCGCACCTATGCCTTCAAGCATGAAAACATTATCCACCAGACTACTGAGCCATGACAGACACCTGTCATTCAACTGATAACCACCACCGAATAAGTAACTATGATCCATTAACTCATGTACGAAAATGAGGCTGAAGAATTCACTCCAGGTATATTAACGTGAAATCACAAAATTATGAAGATATTTACAACCATCTAATACCAATAAATAAATAATATGCCGTAGTGTACAAAGATCAATTTCCTGTGTTCGGACCCCAACACCTCGGTTTTGGCCGTTACACCCATCAGTTGATCAACTCAAAGGGATTATTTGAGTTTATTTAACTAATATGCGGAAATCTTCCTAGCACTGACTATTTTTAACAGAGGATAACGAATGTAGGATATCTGAACGAAGAATATTCTTTTCAATAATTTCTCTTCAGGTTCTTACAATTGTAAAATATAATATTTGTAGTCGTTACAATAAAGGCCAGTTATGCGGCGGATACATTTTTTTCATTTATACAGACTTATTATTAGTGATATTATCTGTTTTCTCAATATATACCTCCACCTGCTTCATTTCACATATTCCTTATTTCATTATGAACCTCTCATTGCAGTCTTACTATCCCCTGTTTAACACAGACCACTTTGTACTAGCCACTCACCTGACACCTTCTACAACCTTGAACTGATTTGTCAATTTTCCTACCCCACACTCTACAAATCTATTATGATTAATCACCACCATTGTCTCCCACTTTGCAATATTTTCCAATCGATTTCAGCCTAGCACGACGTTTGTCACACAAATATAACCATTTATTTTGACACCCCACAACTAATCTGTTATTCTACGCTAAAAATGTATCCGCCGCATACCTGGCTATCTTTATTGTAACAACTACAAATATTATATTTTATAATTGTAAGAACCTGAAGAGAAATTATTGAAAAGAATATTCATCGTTCAGAATGACTTTTAATTCATAATATGGGAATATTTCACACTATCGAATGTAGGATACCTTCCCCTTTATAGTCTGTTTTACGTTCATTGAACCATCCATCATCATAGTACTTTGTGGATGATTTTCAATGATAAAAGCAAATTACAAGGAATTCCTGAACCAAGACTTTGCATCTGACGACACATTTCCGTAATTCCCATCCGTGACCCAGAGGGAACTTTAAATGATTTGCAAATTTCATCCAATGAGCTTTGCGATTTCTCAATTTTTACAACTACCCATTACCGTTTTCCTATCCAGCTGAAACTAACAGTAGTGTTTCTAATACAATCTTGTCATCAGACAACACTAAATTATATGCTAATTATTACTACGGATTGATTGACCAGTGTCATATGCCCAACCCTTAGCCTTGTTTGTGATTGATTTCTACCAGTCATGTTTACTATGTAGTCACCAAGGTAGGACAGTCGCTATCAAAGTACACTTCGAATTGTTTCTGGGTGGCTGGAGGTAGCACTGTTTGGAGCCTCTGAGGGGATGTCAGTTCTTTCTTAACAGCAAATCCGAAACAGCGACAACTGTCAGTGTGCGAGATAAAGATTTAGGTCTAAGGCTTCCTGCATATTGCCTCCAGCCAGCTGACATAAGCACTTCTAAAGTTTATAATGTCAAAACTAAGTTCAAGGTAATCTCACCGAATAAGTAACAAGGAGATTCTCATTTATTCATCTGTCAAGATTTTATAACGTACAAACCGTTTGCAACGTTTTGTAATCACTTATTTCTTCTGATGTTTCCATTGCTACATGAAATTAGGCATATTTTAGTATAATGCAATTGGTGGATGGTGAATAGCAGTGGAATCCAGGTTGCGAACTTCGTTCTATTTGGGAATCGTCAGATGGATGTACCTATGATCCCGCTAGGAATCGAATTCATGACCTTCATGTTACAGGGTCAGCTCGTTGATCATTCTACCACTGGGATGGAATCCTTTGTGTCATGAATTCTGATACCAGCTGACTCACGATATATAACGCCAACACTAGTCAATATCCTCTGCGAGTATCTCTCTTCTTACCCAACTTGGTTGACCCCACTGCTCACTAGAAGTCGCTAGAACAAGCATTCTACTTTGTAGTCAGTCAGTAGCCAAGTGTTAGTTCGCAGGAATTGGCTGAAGACCGAAAGGCTTGCCTCATAATCTGAATGTCCCGGGGTGTGTAGAAGGGGAAAACCCAAAACTAGGACGAAACAGCTCTCTTGTACTCTACGCTTCTCAGCTGTCCGTTTATGATCTTACTTGAAATCGGTCCAATCCCAGTAAATTAATACTTAAGAGTTCCATAAGTGACAATCAAGAAGTATCACAATGAAATATTCTACTGATTGACACGAATAGGCAGAAACAATAGTGTTTTTCTGTTCCTCTATTACATTTTGACTAACACTCACTAATCTTAACAATATTTATTGTGTTTATTCTACCAGTCATCGCGTAATTTAAACAGACATATTCACGAAACACAGTGCCTATAACTGCGATTGTACAACTCCACTAAGTAAGTCTCTCCCTGTTCAGCCAGTTACTGCCTTCCACTTTTCTCTGTGAATGTCTTCAAAGTGGTTTTCGATGAATCAGTCAGACAAAAAAAACTTAAATGAACACAAGAAAAAGAAATCAAACGTCACTTACGTGTCTGGTAAGCCTTTTTTTACATGATAGGCTTTTAGAATTAATACATCTTTATCATCCAATGGACGACTGACTGGCCAAGTGATACGCTGTCCAAAATATACACTGTCATGACCTGTTGCAATCCTTGAAGTCTGTTTAGCCTCTGATAATGAATAGTATTAATAATAGTAAAGAAAAGATTCTAGTCAGTAATGAACAGAATGAATAATTATTAACTGGAATTTCCCAGAATTCTAGAAATTCTCCGATTGATTCCAATGTAGATTTCTTCATTGTCAGACATCATTCGATCCCCTCCCCTCCGACTGTCTAGATGGTTAGCGGATATGCCTCGTAATCTGAATATCCTGTGATCAATCCGTTGTGGGACCGGGAATGCATACTGCTTAATAGACCCAAACCGGGATGGACCGTCTGTCTAGTTTTCTAAGTAACTACTGAATCAACTAAGTGGCTACTCCAAAACATGGACAGTTTAAGTTGGGATTCCAGTTTGTGACTTACGGCTTGATAGTTGACTGTTTAAATCAAAGTGCAAAACTCCACAATTCTTAAAATAACTCAGAAACACTAAATCATACTTTATATTATTTTACGATAAGAAGCCGAATTATTTGAATGGCAGTTGACTTCTTATTGAGCAGAATGTAATATATCAATCAGTAGTCATATAAGTATTAGCAATTTTGAAATAAGTACACAGTGTAGGTACAGGGCATACTTTCGATAGCCACCAGTTAACAATTATCACTCCATACGCTTCACGATTGCAAGTCCTCTAGTTTCGTTATAGGTTTGATGACTAGCTGACATTAGTCAGGGAACCACTGGAAGGCTTGGGAGTACTGGACAGCTGTTCTGTCCTGGTTTGAGACTGTTCACCAGTATGCAGTCGTGAGGGTTCGAACCCAGGATCTGCCAGTCACAAGCCTAGCTGGTAGACCATTCATATTTTAGTGACTAAATTACAAATGCGGTTGACAGAATTCATTTAGTACTTAGTACTTAGACACTGTAATATCAATTACCCCCAAGTAAGTGAAGATGTGGCTCATTGGCCTAAGCACCCAGCTTTCACCCGATGGACATCATATATGAATTCGACTCCATCTATTTTAATTTGGGTGACTAGATAGCAAAAAATATCCCCAGGACGCAATAGGTGTGTCAGATGGTCTGGGACAAGATAAATCTATTCTAGTTGACTGAGTTCACAGCCTAACTGATATAACTAATCAGTGTGGCTAGAAAAGCTTGAAGTGAATCACCTTAGCGAAATTACCGTATGATGCCGATTCTAACCCTTTATTACCTACCCCTTACCGATGTTGTAGATACCTCCTGCCAGTGAAGCCAAACAACTGGAAAACCTGACTAGGTCCAAAAGTTCGTCACAATTCATTCTAACGTCCTGACATTCAATATATATTCTGAAATTTATGCTAATTCACAACTTTCTTTCATCACAAACCAAAGTTGGTTAGAGAAACAATTATAATAACCAAGGAGCACTTGACAGCTGTCCAGTACACCCAGGTTCTCCAATGGTTCTCTAACCAATATCAGCTCATGATGAAATCCTGTAAAGGGTATTCTGTTTTACAAAACGAAGTGAGTTTTCTCATTTCCTTATTTCTGTTCAAGTGTAAATTACCTCAGTTACACTGTGGTGAGAGCAGCCTGCTAGCCAATTGGTTGACATTACTCTACGTCAGTGTCTAGGTCACTAATGTGGGCCGTGAGAAAATATGAACAAGGCTGATCCAACAACCAATCACAGCAGTCTTAAACGTGGGCAAATATGATTCGCAGATAGATGGCTCCACTTTCCGAGGAACTCGAAAACAACCAATCAGAAGACTGCGTTTGTCTACTTGACTAGGCCATAATAATGTATGTGAAATTTATATAAATACGTGTTGATTTCCGTAATAAAACGATCTGTTGCCTGGCCCTTGTCTTCTGTTGTTACTGAGTACAACTAAAGTATACAGGACTTATGAAAAGGAAAAGAAGACAGATGTTTCATTTTAGTTCAGGGTTCGGTGGCATGTGACTAGTAGTGAAATTCAGGCTGCTCATCTTGCCTTTCTTACGATTGTCATTTGAATTTAGCCGCAATTCTCAGTGAGTAATGGCATTCTCACTGAGACTTGAACACTATCACTCACTGGGAATCGCAGGTACACTCGGCTGACCAGTCCCAAATAACACAGATTATGCATTCTACTGCTAGTCACTGTTCACCAAATAACACCATGTTAGCCCTCATAAATCTTCGAAGCGTTCGAATTCATCTACATCGAAATGAGTTACTTTGTTTTCACTCAGTTTGAAGACCAGTATCTATCTTCTCTAAAATAATGAAACTCTTTACTAGACTGGTGAGTCATGAAACTGGTTATAATATGTTTACGAACTTGAAGTTAAATTACAATTCTCTCAGCTCTGAAGGCCAATAATATTTTGTTGTATTCTTCTTAGCTGTATAACAGAAAATGAGACTGATAATTGAAAATGTTTGAAAGTTGAGAGACAAGAGTGGTCTCAATTCAGCCATCTAATCATTTTGAAGCGTAGCATCAGAAGATGGTATAAATACAAGAGATTTTAATGAGCACTATTAACAAGTCATTGATTATGGATGTGGGGATGAAGCAAACTCAATGAACGATGGTCATGACTTGACTAAACAATAATTAATATAGTGAGGTATAAGAGATACAAGGCAGAAGTGGGTTTGAGTGTTTGTTAAGATTATTTGCAAGGTAGTTGAAAATTAACTGATTGTTGACTGCTGACTGATTGCATTTCAAGCTGAAAATTCATTTGAAGTATGTGCTGAAGATGTCCCCTAGTAGGGCGATGAAAGCTTCGTAAACTAACTATCCAGCTCAGGGAACACAAACACATCAGAGAGCTTTTCACTATTTTGCAGCTAACCCCCTCCCCCTTGGATTCAGAGTGGAACATATGACTTCAGTAGTACATCTTCACTGTACTCTGTTCCCTGTTGTTGTTATTTTTTCAGCTGGTTCGCCAAGTTCCCATAATCTTACACTCTCTCCTAAAATGATCTCTCCTTGTCAACTTCGCACCTTTTGTCTAATTCACCGCTTTCCATTCACCCTAAACTAAAAGACCGGTCTGGGGTGTGATGTCATTCAATGGTCTTCCCTCTGAGTATGTTCAATCCATTTCCAACTACTTTGGCATATCTGTTGAGCTGCATTTTACTGGTTGGTTCGTCTCTAGAGTTTCCTGCTACCTGTTCCTTTCTAGCCGTGTTATCTTCAATATAGAGCTAAGACAAAAAGCTTCTAATACCTTTTTATCTTACATTACTTAATTTATTCTTGGCATGCTCCAGAAAGGTCTTCAATCCTATTACATATGAATTAGTCAAAAACAATTGATGATATTTGCTTAATTTAATTTCGACAGTCTATGATTTCAACCCCTTGTTCAACCCAGTTCATTTCCATTTGTCATATTCATGAATAACTATAAATAAAAAATGATTTACAAAAATCTTATATGGCAAAACTGTGTGCTATAGTAGTACTATAAGTCAGTTATCATTATTTTACGGGTTGATCACGGATTGATATCAGTTAGAGAACCATTGAAAACCAGGGAGTACTGGACAGCTGCTGTTTAATCCTAGTTTGGGAATCATCGGCAGTACGCACCCACTGGGATTCGAACCCGGGACCTTCCGGTTACAAGGCAAGCTCGTATACCATTCAGCCACTGGGACCCGATTCAATGGCTCGTGAATTCTAACTTCTACTAATTCGTGATTTAGCGCGACCCCAACGAGCTTGCCTTGTAACCGGAAGGTCCCGGGTTCGAATCCCAGTGGGTGCGTACTGCCGATGATTCCCAAACTAGGATTAAACAGCAGCTGTCCAGTACTCCCTGGTTTTCAATGGTTCTCTAACTGATATCAATCCGTGATCAACCCGTAAAACATAACTAATCCTTACAAACCAAACTATAGAAAGTTATCATTATCCCAAGCTGAGATAATTCCAATACCCTCTGAATATAACCTAGTTCCCTCCTTTCGTGTTAATTTCCTTTCTTCAAGTGCTTACAGTTTTGCAAAAAATTTACCATTAGGAACTATTCATTTATCTGTTGGGTTATCCATTTTCTCCTAGTTTGGGACCCATGATCTTATATTGAATGGAAGCCAGAATCGGCAGATTACGGGGTGAACACTTGCAGCTGTCGAGTGGGGGAATCCAATGACCCAAGGATTCTGCCTTCTGTGAATTCCTACTGTGCTGCTGTGAACCACTACCATCAGTTTCACATTCCACGTATAATACTTCACTGGGTATAAATTCCCATTAGAACTCCACAACATTCACCCTAAAAGCGGTCTTTAACGGCAAGGAGATTAACTTTTTCAGTTTTTGTGTTCCCGGAAACTTCATCACTTTACTAACCTTTTCACTACGACTTCCTCTGTATTTGGTGATTACTTTCCATTATTATTTGAAAGTTATAAAACTGCAGTGTAAAATTTATTTTAATTATTCTAGTTTGTGAATAACCGATAAGCAAGACACTGTCCCACTTTTTGTTATTAATTACGTCGTTCGAGAAGAAGAGTCATGCGTAGTGATGAAGACATACAAAAGCTGGAACCTGTTAACATAAGGAATAAAACTCAAGTGATCAAGTAGAGGTGTTGTCAAAGTCGTCAACAGTTCTATATTTTTGAACACCTCATTCAAACAGGCCCCACAGCTAGTATTGAAGAGTCTTTGTCTATCATCTGTAGGGTATACAATAAATTACCAAGCGCCTCTAGACACTGAACACCCAAAATAGAAGAGGCCATTGCAATTCGCTTAAATCAACCAGGGTAAAAGAAACAGGTTCACCTACTATAGGTACCCTACCCCACTGTTGAACTTATAAACCCTTAAATTCTCTATTATCTTCCTTATCAATCACTTCAGTGTTATATTAGTGCTTGTTTTATCTTACTGATGCTTTTAAACTGTAATCACCTATCGATACCATTGATTCAGTATAAATTGAAGCAACATTAATGTTGTTAATAACAACAATTGTTTTATTATTACTGTCACATAACCGTAGAACCTGATGAGGAATCTACTGAAAAGAATATTTTTAATGTTAATTAATCAGTCTTTTAAAAATCTTAAGTCAATAAATACAAATTTGCTTAATTTTAGACAGCTTACCTTTCAGAAGTGACCACTGATTAATTAGAGTGGATTGACAGCAAGACATTCGAGCATATAAGAGTAAGAGTAAACTAGAAGTATTTGATTCTCCTAGCAGAGCGCTTTATACCGTTAGTCGTTAATTAGTGTGCGAATGTAAGGTGGGTAACCGAAGTCTGACGCATAGGATACAGTAAAACGTTTGAGGGAGATGCTATGATATGACTAGGGTTTAAGTATACTAAGATGCATTCTAATGTCAATATATTATGAACATATCGACTGTCCTCAAATAGCTAATCTGAATTCATGGGATTCGATATTATTTGGCTGTCTGAAGTGAGTTTAATCGCAAACACTAAGCTAAAACGAGCAAAATGGCTCTCGGATGATTAGATCCCTTTGATTTGATTGACAAGCCCTAGTGGTTGACGAGAACAGATTCCCCCCACCTACGCCAACCAGCAGTTTATATCACATTGCAGCTTTGATCGCTTTCTTCGGATATTATTATTTCTGGTGTCATGCTGGTCTTTTTAATATGATCTAAATATTTTACGTTTTGGAAGGAAATCATAATTAGTGAATTTTCACCTTGAAGTGTGTAATTCACTAGTGATTAGTTTTATTCTCTGAAGTTTGGCTTATCAGCCGATCACGTGGTCTTTAATTACAGATCAACTAACAGGCCAGTCTAATAGTCACCCCGTAAGCAGCAAATATTATTTAACAACAGTCAGTATTGTTCAACTTACCACGAAATGAAACTTTAATCCTACGATCACCTTTCCCGGTTAATCCAACCAAATATTTAAGGTCCAGTGTTAAGGACATTGTAAAGGCTGGCCAATCAATTTAATATTTCCACAATGAGTTTCTTCTCGTGAGATGAATGAATAATTTAATGGAATAATTTAACTATATAATGTGCTTTTTGAATCATATTATTATTATTATCATCATAATCCGTCTTAACTTCATATTACACTCTTTTTCTAAATGATCTCAATTAATAATTCAGTTGTATAAATACCTACTCTATTATGTCTATTATGATGTTGGTAAGTGAAACACGTGAGTGTATATGAGTGTGTGTGCGTGTGCAAAATTGCTTACGTGCATTCATACGTAAGTAGGTATTTTGTAACAGTACGTGCGTCTATGTGTGAGTGTGTGTGTGTGCGTTGGTGTTTGTTAATGACAGATTGACATCAATATCGATTATTAAACTGCTTCTTCAATTTACTGGATTCCTATTTGCCTTATTTTTGTTTCAAATGGTACTTGCCTGATACCTCTCAAAATCACGTGTTGATGAATAAAAATCATTTGAACACTGAGTAGGTAATTTTTAACGTGGTATATATAACTGTAAACAAAAACACACAGATACACAGTGAAGTGAGAATTCCTTGGCGTTGAATCATTTGAGTGACAGAAACAATTTCAGTTGTGTTGACTCATCACACTCCGATTCACAGAAATGCAATCTTTTGTCAGAAATACCTAATTTCTTCATGTTTCAAAGTTCGCTGTGAAAATTGCTAATAGCCCAGTACGCTTTGTGTATGTATTTAATTGATGTAAATTCCCTCTGGGAATTAGAGGTGCTTACTGTCTAACCACTTGAATTCATTCCCCAAAAGCCGATAATTACCATTGCTATTATTCCAATGAATGCATAATGGAATATTAGGCTTCACCGGAATATCACCACCCTAGCCAGCTTTATGACTGCTCATAAGCTTCTACTTTCTCCTTACACAATCTTCTCCATATCACCCAGACTAGTTTACAAACTACTCTTAAGCCTAGGGAAAATCGAATGTTTGACGTCGATCTTGTAGCCTTATTCCAAAACAATAATCTAGTCACTACAAAATCTGCTTTCGATGAAAGCAAAAGTAGGCATGAAGGACATGGAATACTCGTAATACGCTTGAAGATATCTGGCAAGGCTACTAAAATTGCAAGAGAAATGAGGAGATATCGTATCGGAGAGTTAGGAATATGTGAAAAACGTTGGAATGTAAGTTGAAGCTCAGAACAGTTAACTGGAGAGTCAGTAGTCAATAGCCACGCCACGCTGAGGGAGTAGTTATCATGATTTCACCAACAGCAGCCAAAGCCCTGATGTAATGGTGACCAGTTTCGTCAAGGATTATGACAACAAGATTCAACTTAGGAGGAAAGAAAGTTAAAATCATTCAATGCTACGCACCTACAAACAACTTGGAACAAGAGAAGAAGGGAGATTTCTATAGACAACTGGATAACATCCCAAATGGCGACATCAAAATCTTGGTGGATGATGTAAGTGAGAAAGTTGGGTCCGATAACATGTGCTGTGAATTCATTATGTGTCGATATTATCCCGCTTGGTAAAAAGAGTAACAACGTAGAACTCTTCTCAGAAATCTTCTGCGCCTTCAGTGATTTGGTGATTAGAGGTGGTGTGCAAATACACAAGGATATACACAAGGTAACGCGGACTTCTCGTGATGGACATGTCAAAGACCAGATTGACTTCGTCTCAGTGCTGCTCAAGAATTTCAAGATGCAGTTTACTCGACACAAAGTCGAGAAGGAGAGCAAATGTAGACTGAGACTTTCAACTGGTGCAAGAAGCCTCTAAGGTAAAGCTGAAAGCCTTCAAACCAACTAGAGACCGAACACAATTTAAGTTTAACATTTAGAAACTGAAAGACGAAACTACTGAAGACAATTTAACTGCGGCCTTCAGAGCAAAGTTGAAGACATTATGTAGTATCACTGAGGACACCTGCGTGAAAGAACATTGGAACTCTGGCGAATTGTTGTTCAAGGAAAGTTGTACAACAACTTGAAGGAAAAAGAAGAAGAAAGACAAATAATGGCTCTCAACGGATACGTGGAAGCTAATCGAGGAGAGGAGGATAGCGAAACAGAAGTTGAACTAGTACGAAGATGAGCAACGAAAGGAAAAAATGAATTCAGTGTACAATACACTTAATAAAGAAATAAATTAAAGTGCTATGAAAGACAAAAGACACTTTTACAACACACTGGAAACTGTAGAAGGATAGGCTTCAGGTAAGAGATACTTCAGATCACTATACTAGACAACTGTCAGGGAAGAGATCAACTTGTTTTTATTACAGCTTGATTCCACACTGTATTTTTGGTACAAGTATGGAATTTTCACCATGTGATATCGGTAGCCCAAATTTCGCAGGCCGACCATAGATATCAGGTGTCCGTCGGCAGGGGATCGAACCTCGGACGATGTGCATGGTCGGCGAGAGTCCTAACCACTGTGCCACCGACATATAATGAAAGGTAGTGAAGGAAACCAAATTATCACATCGATGGATTACTAAACCTGGTGGGTCTTAGTGGCTGAAGGGTCAACGTGCTCGCCCCATGATCTAAGTTAGATTCTTGATGGGTTCATAGGTGGTGCGTACTGATGAAGGGTCCCAAACTGGGATGAAACATCTGTCCAGCGCTCTTTGGTTTCTGATGGTTGTCTAAATGATATCACTCCGTGACTAGAATTGAAATTCTTTGAAATTACTAAAGTTTATAAACGATGTGCTCCCACTGCATAACAGTACTTTGATGATCGTATCATAATAAAATGACAGCTTTAAAAAATAACTGTCTTTAAACGAATACAAAGAGTGCACTGAACAGATGTTTAAGAGGTTGGCATACTTATTGTCTAGGTAGATAAGTGTATGGAACAACACTGTCTTCCTTGTGGACCACATCTATTAGCCTCACTTTAGTTCATGGATCCTTTTAACCTTCCCATCTATATTGTCATCATTTATTCATTTGAAGTTACCTGTTTGGTGGTAGTGGTTCTCAATGAAGTCCAAATATCAACAGGAAATTAAGGGTACCCATAGCTAACCCAAAAATCATATTCGCATCACAAGAAGTGACTTTGGCGAATAAAGTGATAGCTAAGTGACTAACACTTCGGTACCAAAAGAGAGAGTACTATCAACTGACGACTCCTGAATGGAACAGAATGCGCGTCCACAGTGCTAGCCACCACCAAAGAATTAATTTTACGAAGAAAAATACTGTCTACGGATTATACTAGTTACGTAGCGATGCATACACAGCTGTGTGATGAAGGAAATCCTATCTATAATCGACTAAATGCATGAAATACTCATCTTTGTTGTTCAATAAATTGCCCCCGAAACGTCATCAGTAAATAATACCATATATCACTGTGTGACTTTATCAAATACACTCAGTCTATGATGGAATTATACTCTATCACAAAGCTAAAGTTCTATTCATGTACATATATATATATATATATATATATATATATATATATATATATATATATTCATAACTGTTTAAGAATCGCTGTGTAAACTCAGGTACATTTCCAAACAGGTTTCAACCCATCGCTACAAATTTGTTGATGATAACCGAGGTGGGATTATTGGAGGATGACTCGGATAAAATAATACCGCTTAAAATGATATGTTATTATTTATTATAAATTACTTGAAAACTCCACACAAGCAGTAAATACCTTGCAATAAGAAACTTTCTGAAAATTCTTCATTCTGTGTACATGTACTTTTTAGAACAAAGCCATTACTATTATTATTATTATTACTATTATTATTAAGTGTAAAGCACTGATTATTTTAGCTAGTTAAGAACATTGTAGATAAAGAAAGTTACTACAATCAAAATTCTTTAGTGCAGAATTACATCAAATAGATGAAGTCATATGCCAGTGCTAGAGAAGACAGATGAATAGTGGGTCACAGCTTTCGCATGCATATATCAGATGTATATATATATATATATATTCACCTCTAATGGAAGAAATTAACAGTCAATACATATACTAACAAAAGGAGTCAACCCTGAAAAAAAAACTAAAGTATGACATAGAATGATAAATAATAAATACCATTATAGAGAAGATATAAATGTCAGAATTAAACATTTTGGAATTCATAAAAGAAAAGATGTTCAACACAGAGTTAATCTTTGTAGCGATATCATTCTCAAGCTTAACAATCATATATATATATATAGTAAATTATCTTGACAACAAAAGGAATATCTCCAAGAATGTGTCATTAGAACTGTAAATTTTTTCAGATGACAAATTACGTAATATAAAAAGTGTTAATCGGGTAGAAAATGGAATAAAACTTTTTCTGTAGTTGGTTTATAAGGATTAGATTTTATGTTTACTAGTTGGTCACGGAGTGATATCAGTTGGAGAACCACTGAAAACACGGGAGTGCTCGACAGCTATTTCATTCTAGTCTGGGAATTATCGGCAGTACGCACCCACCAGCAGGGATCGAACTCAAGACCTTCTGGTTACAAGGCAAGCTCGTATGCCATTTAGCCACTTGAACCCGATTCAATGGCCAGCTCATGAATTCTAACTTCTACAAATTCGTTATTTGGCGCAACCACCAACCAATGTCGTCGGTGGGACATCCATTCTCACACTTGACTAGATGGACCTCACTGGTCCCGACTTCTCACTAGCTTTCGCCGTTCTTCTGGACAACATCTTCAGCACAATATTTAGCATAAAGTGAAATGATTTAAATTTCTTCATGAGTGGTGATATAATTGCGTCTCCCGGTAACCATCTTCACATATGTATGGACCATTTTCTATTGACTTGGATTTTAAACTTTCTGGTCACCTGATTTACTTTTTATTAGTTGGTACATTTGGTCTATATTAACGTGTTTGTTAATTGCATTTTCGTTTGAGTACCAGGCTTCTAGGAATTCCCTGGCACTTTTGGTGTTTCCTCTGTCTAAGATTTCGACATTATCCCAATCAAATTGATGTACATAATTGTCTATGTGCATTGATACTAAAGAATATATCGTGTCTTTTCACCTCTGATTTGTGTTCTTGCGCTGAAGATGTTATCCTGCCTACAGACACACTGAACCTCCCCAACATCCAGCACACACTCGAATGGGATTTAGACACTGGTCCGCCGTCTGTAAGTGAG